GTGAGAAAGAGAGAGAGATCGTTCCTCTCGGAGATGGACGTTAAAATTCGAAGATCCCTCCTCTTATATAACCTAATAGTGTTGATAGGGGTGTTTAACCTTTACCAGGAAGAGGATGCAAACACAAGTCAGCAAAGAAGAATTTGTTCACTTCAATTAGTTGCGTTAGTTTTTTTTTTTCTCTCGATCAAAAAGAACGAGTGCTTCAGAATCTCTAAGCTTCAAAATAAATTTGGTTGTTTTTGTTTTATCAAAGTCTGAATAAGTAATCTGCTGTGACAAATTCATTCGCTGCAAGCCGTTCAGGTCTGCTTTCATTGTTCTCTGTCTGTCTGTCTGTCTGTCTGTCTGTCTGTCTGTCTGTCTGTCTGTCTGTCTGTCTGTCTGTCTGTCTGTCTGTCTCTCTCTCTCTCTCTCTCTCTCTCTCTCTCTCTCTGTGTCTCTCTCTCTCTCTCTCTCTCTCTCTCTCTCTCTCTCTCTCTCTCTCTCTCTCTCTCTCTCAATGTAAGGTCCCTTTTCTAAAAAAAGAACAATGAAGACTTCAGCAAGACAAACAGACATTTTCCTGAACTGATACGGCAGGTCTAATGCGGTGTACACATACAGGAGTAGAGTCGACGAGCAATTCCCGATAAGAAAATGCCAAATTCGGGTTTAATTGTAATACGGGGTGCCTACTACGGACGGGATCGGCCTCAGGCCGATCGCCCGACACGATCGCCTCAAAAACAATGTTTTCAGTTTCAGGCGATCGAGTTGGGCGATCGGCCCGATCCAGTTGTAGCGGGCACCCGTTTGACGAGCATCTGGCCATGACTGTTGACATTATTGTGTCGGTGAGCACTCGGGGAGACGCTACCGAGCATTAATTTAGGACGGCGAGCGTCTCGCTGAGCGTCTTGCCGAGCAATTAGTTTGAATCCTGGCCACTTGCAGAGTCAAGAAACTCAGCGACCGAGTAAAATTTCATACGCCGACTAACTCACCGTCCATGCTAACCATCTTGCCGACCCGTCGCCGAGTTAGTCCGCGTGCAATGTTATAATATATAAAGAGGGAAGCAAAATGCTTGTGCTTATTCCTTCAAAATGTCTCATATGACACAGACGATGGATGTATACTTCAAGTACAAATAATAATGGTGCCCTTGCTGCTGTGCTGGTTCAAGAAGAGGAGAAGAGGAGGAAGAGGAGAAGGAGTAGGACCTGTTGGGTTAGACCACGGCTCATAAGAACTTAGGACAGTTCGAGAAGCTGATGGCTGAACTGCAAGTTGAAGATGTGGCATCCTTCAGGAAACTCCTCAGAGCTTCTCCCGAGATTTGAGAAAATTGGCCCCACTAT